AGATTTCTCTATTATTTATAGTTATTATTTACAATAAGATAAATATATTGTAAATTTATTTTGCTTAAAGTGGCAATTTTATATCAACTCTTGAAATACTATAGATAAAACTGATATGACATTATCTAGATCAGTATTTCATCTAGACAAAATTCCATTCTTAGTCTTACGAACTCAAACATTTAATACTTGTACGCGGCACGCGATTATAACAAGAAAATGAAGAAAATATATTTTGCTGCTATAGCAGGTATGTATATATTGGAATAAAAGAATATATACATATAGAAAGTATATATAGAAATAAATGTTTGTGTTTCTTACTAAATTATGTCGTTTTCTTTCTGTAAAAATATTTATTTTGTAATGTAGTATTTAATATATAGCTTTATATTTGTTTTAAATTAATATAATTAAATGTAATATATAAAATATTATATTAGACTTAAAAGACTAAAGAATAAAAACTAATCTTTACAGTTAATCTATAAAGTAAAAATTTAGAGAGAATAACTTTTATGAGAATAATATTTTTATCAAAAGCATCATCTATTTGTAATAAAATTATTGATATAAAATTTTTTTCAAAATGATTATTTTATTAGGAAATTTAGGTATGCTGTCAATCGGCCAATTTATTGGCTGGGCATCGCCATCCTTATCCTTATTGATTGTGAAAGATAGTAATAATACTAAATCTTTCGTACATTTAACTTTGGAAGAAGCTTCTTGGGTAGTATCCTTGCTTACTCTTGGTGCCACCATAGGTTGCATTCTTTGTGCATTTATGGTGAATATCTTCGGCAGAAAAAAACCATGTTACTTATGGCTGTGCCTGAGATAATCAGTTGGTTGCTAATAGCTTTCGCAACATCAACGTGGGTAATTTAATGATTTTTACATTTTTTTTACTAGATATATACATAGAATTTGTACAAAATAATATCACAAATGTTAAAAAAATTAGAAAATTAAATATTAAAAATATTCGGAAGATGATTCAATTTATACTAAATCATGATCCCGATACTTCTTGTCTTTTAAAGTTTTTCCAAGTCTTCCAAAGTTTCTCAAAATCCAGAAATGCATTTGAATTATATATTCTTGCTTTTAATAATAATCCTCTTGAAATGTATTACATTTTTCAATTTAACTTTCTGTCATTCTAATATACAATCAAATTTTTTGCAATTTTCATGAGATGATTTCATTTTCTTATTAAAAAAGTCTGGTTTAATAGTTTATAGAATGTTTAAATTTGATGATCACATTGAAATTAAAATGTTAACATGTGTTGCGAAGAATCATCGGATTACTATCCAATCGATATATCAATCGATATATCAATTATATCAATTATATCAATCGATTGCTACAATATCGTAAAATGAGAAAGTGTTATATTTAATTGTATTCTGAGATAGATCTTGCAAATATTTTGAATTAAAGTTTAAAGATTATGAATGCTAAATATTAAGCTACAAGTAAGTGATAATTATATTTCTTTCAAGTATTTTTTATTTTGTGAATGTGTTAACTTTTTATTGCTATTACTTTCCAGTACATATCCAGTCAACACAAAATCCAAAATTGGAAAATAAGACGACTTAAAGATGTCTTAAAAACATTTTAAAAGCATTTTAAAAACATTTTAAAGATATCTTTGCGATAAATGTTTTATGTTCTGTCTTTGAATTTGTTGTCATTACGTTGCATATGCGTAATTCTTACAATTTTAAGCTTAATTAATATCAAACGTCACATCAAGATTTAGATAAAATGTCACTGATCACATATCATCATGAATAATGTAAAGCTTTTCAAGATTGATTATCTTGATGATATCTTTTTTCATATTGATTTTTATAAAATACGCGCTATAATAGATTGTGATAAATAATTAAGACATATTACATATCCTAAGATATTGATAGAAAAATCAGATATAATATTAGGAATGAAAGGCTAATATCAAAAATAGAAATTTTTAAAAATTATTTTTATATAAATAATTTTTAAAATGATATTTAATATTTAATAATAATTACAATTAGTTCGTGAGGCAACGAATATGATTTGTTTCACTGAGGAAAATTTCTAATTAAGTTAAATAAGTCATTAAATGTTGGAATATATGCATATGATTATACAAGATGAGCAATATTTGTAAAAAATTATTATATAATATTATATTTCTATTTGGACGATATGAGACTATGAGACTGAAGTGTTTATAAAATTTAAACAAAATATGATTTTTAAATTAAGCTCACAGAGCAAGTATACGTAAATATCTTTTAATCATAGAGAAAAAAAAGATACGTTAATAAACATATAAATTTCCATATAACGTTATTTATTTTTTAAAAACTAAAAGTAACATTGTATTATTTTCTTGAATTTGGAATATAAATTGCTCAAGAGATAGAGATCAAATTCAATCCCTCTTCTTATATCTTCTTTGCTTTGCAGGAATTATATGTATCAAGGTTTATATCTGGTTTGACTATGGGAATCGCTTACTCATCCACACCTATGTATTTGGGCGAAATTTCACCGGCAAATATTCGCGGCAAATTGTCGTCCATGCTGACAGTTGCTGTGAAACTCGGCACTTTGATTGAATTTGTGATAGGCCCATTTCTCTCAGTGAGAAATCTCGCTGTCGTCTCTTTGGTGGGACCATGCCTGTTTTTGATTACTTTCATTTGGTTACCGGAATCACCATATTATCTGATGCGCTGTGATGCCAAGCAAAAGGCCATAAACTCTCTTGTTCAATTGAGAGGTAAAAAGGATGTTTACAAAGAAGCAGACAATATCGAACAGTCCGTAAAAGCCGATTTGACTAACGAAGCTGGTTTCCGCGAACTTATATTTGTGCCGGGAAATCGCAGGTGAGAGGTCAACTTCGATTTGTCGTATCATATCAACAAGCACTCGAAAATCAATATAAAAGTTTCAAAAATAAGTTATGAATAATAAGAATATTAGACATTGTATTAACAAATTTTATAATTAAGTATTATATATAAACTTTTCTTTTTTTAACCATGTAATTATAAAAAAATCATTAGAAGATATTCTTATTAATAATTTTTAATATTAATAACTAATTTTTAATATTAACGATTTTAAGAATTTCAAAATCGTCATAATGAGTTTCGTACAAATAAGTAAAAAATATTAAATATTGGATTTAAAAATTTTACAAATAAAACCTTATTATATTAAAATTTTTTAGATGAAATAATCAATAAAATTATCAAAATATTTAAAAAAATTTCCATTATCCGATTTTTAATTATATTCAAGAGATTCGCTGTTGTTATAACAAATTTCAATAAAAACTATTATTTTAATCATTCAAAAGACAAATTGATTGGAATTGATAAATTTGACCGAATAATTTTTCAGAGCTTTAATAACGTTGATGTGCCTGGGTATATTTCAACAAACGAGCGGCTCTCAAGCCGTGATGCAATACGCTGAGACAATTTTCAACCAAATGAATAATAATCTGGAGGGCAAGTATTTGACCATAATATTGGGTGTCGTGCAACTAATCTTCACGATCATCAGCATGACCATCACCGATCGTTGCGGCAGGAAGCCACTGTTGATAATCTCTTCCATCGGTTCGGCATGCTCCACCGTCATGATCGCAACGTATTTTCATCTGCAATACTATCGCATAGATACCAACAATATAATATGGTTGCCCGCCACCGGTACAATGATGTATATAGTCATGTATGCCATAGGTTTAGCGGGAGTACCGTTTACAATGGCCAGTGAATTGTTTCCAACAAACGTGAAGGCCATCGGCACAACATTAGGAATAATGACAGTTCATGCGACTGCTTTTATAGTAACGAAATTATATCCGACTCTAAGTGAAATTGCTGGTACGCATACGCCGTTCTGGATATTCACCGCGTGCAGTGTCACCAGTGCTTTATTCACATTTTTCTATGTACCTGAAACCAAAGGCAAGACGCTGGAACAGATACAAAAGAAATTGCACAGCTCATCGAAATAATGAGAATTGAGAGTAGGATATTTACATGTGACAATTTTCTATCGAAAGAAAGTAGAAGAATAATAATATAATATTTGTGAATTATTTATATTTAATTGAAAGAATTTTTCAAAAATTGAGTTTATGTACTCCTGTAATTTATAAATTACATTATCTAAAATGATCTGTGTCTTATATTTTTACTGTTACAAATGAAATATACAAAAAAATACAAATGATATTAATTACGAAACTTAAATAAAGAATATAATATATACATTAATATAAACAATGTGATAATATTAACAATGTGAAAAAATAAAAAAAATTTGTAAAATTTTAAAAGTCTTTACAAGAATTTTTAACATATACTTGTCTTAATATTCATAATGCGTTTTCATGCATTCAATCAAATGTGTGCCATTTGTAACACGCGCTATGACACATTAAAGCATGTAGAAATTAAAAAATTGTAATCCTTTGAGATCTATATTCATAGTCTGCTCTTATATTCGAGATTAACTTAAATACAGTTTCAGAGCATATACATTGTTGTGTCTTACGACAGACTTAAGTATTAGACGTAAGTAATAAGCTTACGCATAAGATTTCGTACATGATGGATAAAATGCAATATTTATTAGCGCATTTGACATTAATAAGATATGTTTACTTTTCGTCCTGATTAGCCTTATTCTTATCATCTTTACTGCCTTTCTCCTAACTTTTAATGGTAAAAGGATTATCACTACCACTTGTAATCAGTGTTTCAATTTATAATGCAATTTAAAATTACGTAATACGCAATAAAATTTGTTGGAATTCCGAGGAAATCCGTGATAATTGCAATGTAATTCGTATTCTTTGCTGTTCACCAGGTCTTTGCTGGAAAGATTCTTTTCAGATTATATACATTTCTGAAGAGTACGTAATGCAATAATGTATTCACAAATAATTCTATTCGCTATTCAATTTCTGATATAGAAATAGCATTTTTTATTGCAATTTCTCGCAGTTGTATTATAAAATATTTGGAATTAATCCTGTCCTGTAATCATTAGACTTGATTGAAGTTCCGAAAGAGCCAATTGTTTTCACGTTTTAATTTGACAAATATCGCAATTTAATGACCGACGAATGTTTCATTAACCGCAGAAACCGCTACTTCCTTTTTTAGGGTTAAGCTTCTCCTCGATATCGTGGAAACTTTGTAACAATTGTATTATGATATAAAACGCTTTTAACTTTTTCGATTAATGATTGTATTTTGAATAAAACGGAATCTGCTTTTCATTATGTTCATTATATAAGGCTTTAATAAAACGAACAAAGAAATATGTAATAAAGAGAAAATAAAATAAACTTTATAAATAATATTATTAATAAGTACATAAATCAGATCTTACACCTCTATCTAAGATTTAAAATTAATTTTAGAAAAATATTAAATAGGCTTTCTATAATTGTTTTACATTAATGTGAATTAATATTTGAATAATGTGTACTTAATTTATACTTAATTTAACGTAATATATCACTACCTAATATTTTGTATCAACTCAGTTATGGATCGTTATATATTATCATAATTAAATTACAAAAGCAACAATATATATATATATATATATGTTAATGTTTATTGACAGTTTATACATAATATAATTAATTATATAAATTCTAGGTAATTAATAAATGTTTTAAATGTATACACAATTTAAAGATTTTAAAAATTGAAATTGTTAATAATTTTGCGTACATATAATTAAATTATTAGTTTACATTTCATTACTCGATTACAACGGAAATCGAAAAGAATAATATTTGTTAAAATATTTGCAAGTAAATCTATATCATAATATATAATAAGTAAATCTATATCAATAACAAGTAAATCTATATCATAATATATAAATCTGTTATACATTAAATTTATATATATGCGTACATTAATATCAAAAAAATGAAATTGTACAAAATAAAATTAAGATTATATGCGTATGTAAACTTGAATGTAAAATAGTCTGATTATTTATTATGTTTATTAAATATTATTTCTATTTATTTATTCTAAAATTTTTCTTGTTTAGCCTAATGGAAAATACATTTATATATTATATATTTATAGTATTATTTGATATAGTATTATTTAATCTACACAAAAGTAGCCTAATTAGCGTGTCGCTATTTCCGGATGCGTCAAACACATTTAATACAGATGTCGTTATCGAAAATTCAGAGAGAAACGTCCAGTTTCCTTTCGACGTGTTGCTGCTCGAAATTATTGTTATCCGAGTGTCTGAACAGTGCGGAAGAGAAACGTTCAAAAATTTAATTCTATTATAATCTTATTGTTTAAATTAATTTGTTTTGATTGAAATAAAATTTGTGTTTTTAAAAAGAAAGATTGTTAATATCGTATTATTTAAATATATTTGATAATCAAGACATCTTGATTCATTAAATTCAAAGTGACACAAATTTTTTAGAAAAATAAAATAATTTAAATACAAAAAATTAATTAGATATGTAACATTAATTTTGTAATTTATATTACTTTTATTTTGATAATCACGCATTGCTTTTACAAACGGCATATATAAATTTATAGACAATGAAGAAATTGATGAATGCACTATTGTTGTTTATTTTTGCGAGTAAAGTGTTACAAATAACCGGAAAACTAATTGTATTACGACCATTATTTAAGAATGTCAATATGAAATTAATATGTCTCTCAGAAGATGATGGCAGCGCTCTTGTTTGGAATCCGTATAATTATCCGTATAATTATAATCAATATTACCGCAATTACTCTATAGGTAGTTTATTAAAACTATAATAAATATTTCTATAAGTTGTATAAGACAAATATATATTTACAAGTTTAAAAAACAACTTTTCTTTTTACTTTTACATGTTTATTAAAATTAATATTTTATCAATATTTATTAAATATATTTATTTGTAAAATAGTTCATTTAATATTTTATCATGTTAATTTGCACCCATAATTATAAGTATGCGTATTATTTTAGATTTTGTGGCTTTAAATGAATTAAGTAATAGCGATATAAATTGTAAAATGAATATAGAAAGTATTTGCTTAAACTCATGGACCAAACATGATTGGACTCTCACCAATTCTATTATAACACCTATGGGTCCGGTTTTTGATCAACGATGGGAAGGTAAGAATCTCGTAGTACAGGAAATAATTATAATATGTATAAAATGAATAATGATATTACAAGGAATGTATATTTTTAAAATAGCTTAAGTGCGTACAATTAAAACATACAATTAAAATTAAACTACATACAATTTAAAATTTTCAGAATTTAAAGAATATTTTTTTGATGATTTCTTAATATTTCCTGTGGATTTCTTTCCTGCCACAGTAACACTTCCTCTTTCATTACGGATGCTTCTTTCTGGACCTTTACCTACAAATATTAGTATAGTACTTTGCAAAAATAAAAATTCTATAAGCATGTTTTGCTACTTGATCACATTACGGAATAATATGCTCAACACATTTGTCATAAAAAAGTGTTCGGAAATTCCGCCTTCATTAAATTCTTACCTTTCTTGGTATTTTTGGGAAAACGAGAACTGCACAGAATTAATAAAGTCTTCTGAGGTAACTATAAGTGTATCTTGAATTTCTCTTATTTTAAAACACCACTTTTCATATTATACATATATTAATATGTATAATACAACTTTGAAACATATTTTGAAAAGAAACTTTGATTCGAAATCTTTATGTATATTATTATTTACGAAATCGTATATAGAATAGAATTTTGAAAAAACAAAATTAACGTAAAAATTCCTGTGTCGTACTAAAAATTAATAATTAATATAGGACAAATCTCCCAAATTCTTTGAACTTGAATGGAAAACTTTTATTCTATCATGGAATGCTTCAAGTCAGGAAATAATTATTTACGATACTGAAAAAGTTATAATATCATATAAAGGCATGGAAGAAGATGAAAACTCAAATGGTTATAATATGTTTATTCAGAGCTCGGGAGCTAAGCTTCGATTTCATAAATGTAAGTGCAAGATTTGCAGAATCTTTATAAATAAGTTTGTTTAAAATTTAACATTAATTGAATAAAAAGTAAAGGATTTTATATATAAATATATGTTTTAGATGATTTTTTACATACAACTGTCGAGAATGCAATTTTATCAAGTCCTATTTTCCAATTTAATGATACAATATGTATACAACTGTTTATTGGCCTCTGCGCCGAATGCGAAGCACATATAGTGTTTCGTGACCCAACGACCGATGAAGAATTGGAAAGAGTTACAGCGAGAGGTTCATTGCAAGCTGCGATTCCTGACTTGCCCATGTGGCAATCTGTCAAAATTAAGCGAAATATATCATCAACCACTAATGGAACTTATAATAGAGTGATAATGCAATTGATTCCTAAACTTAATAAACCTAGCGTTAATCCATTATGGGCGATAGCAAATGTTCGCCAATGTCCTCAAAATGGTGCACATTGTTTTAATCTTTAATTTTTTTATTATCTTTATAATATTTTTAATTATTATTTTCAGTCGCATATTTTTAAGGTTAGATTAATAATTCTAAAAATCTTTAAACAATTTTATTAATTTTTTTATAATGTAATTAATTTTGTTAACGTATTTTGTATCACTTTATATAGAAGCTTTGAGGCAAAGTGTTTTAAAGCTTGACATTGATACAGAATCCGTATTTACAAGACATACGCAAGCAACATGTCAGAAGTTATTCTATAACGAAAATACCGTTGTGAATGCTACGTCCGACGTCAAACAAGATATAAGATTAGGTAATTATTAAGAATATTAAGATTAGATATAAATAATTACTACAAAAATAGTAATATAGCATTTTTCACCATGTGTTCACAAAGATAAAGTTGAAAGCTGTTTTATAATAAAAATATATTTTTCTAGATAGTGCAGAATGTTCAGTAGGGAAGATTGGACCCCAATGTATGTTTTCGTGCGAACATGATCTGGGAGATTATTTTGATTGTAGAAAAACTTTGATTTGTTACGAAGATGGTTGCATGTGTAGTCCAGGTTTTCAGGGAGATGATTGTTCTCGTAAGTAATTTGTCATGTCGTTTTTATTTTTTATGTTACGTTTGTGCATTAAATAAACTGTACTTTCAGCTTGTGAATCAAACACATATGGTTATGGCTGTAAAAAAAGTTGCGGCACATGCAATAACAATACATCGTCTGAAAAATCGTGTAATAAAATAACTGGAGTATGTAGTAACGGATGTTACAATCTTGACGAGATTTATATACCACCTTTGTGTCAAACAAGTAATAATCTATTATATCATCTATTGTATCATGCATATAATATAGTGTTTTCATTATCAATATCAAATATATATTGATGATTTAATTGCGTGTATATAAATGTGCGCTGATAATTTCACAGCCTTAGATAAACCGAGAAGACCTATAATTATGTCAGTAAATGAGACAAGTATATGGGCCAGTGTTCGTATAACATGGAAGGATGAATATGAATCAATACTTTATTCTTTTGATATCAAAGTATATAAAATTTAATATCACGTCTTTTAATTTCTTAACATAATTATTCTCTTAGTTTTTAATAATTAAATTGGAAGAAATTAAATTAAATTAGATTTGCAGTTGCAAAAATTCCACTAATTCCAATCAAAACACGGCATTTTTCAATATTGAAAACAATTAGAAAAAGGCGGATTAATTTTATAATATTTTTTTAATAGGGACAAAAGATCCAGTCACAGAATAGAATATCTCGATATAATGTGACATTTTTGACAGGATATTTTGAGAACTTAACGCCTGGTACTACTTATGAGATCAGATGCAGATTAAGTATTGCAGAAGACAAGGCAGTATTTGGTAAAAGGTATATAGATAGCGATTGGCAAAGCTTTGATACTCTCTGCAATCGTAAGTAAATATCTAATTAGTTTGTGTGATATTTTCCATCTTTATTCTATAATTTAATAATAATTTAATTCTAATAGCAGTTATAATTTATTTTATCAGTAAATTTAATACTTTGAATTCGAGTTTAATAAAATTAAAATTACAAAATAAAAATATTATTACACTTATGTTTTACTAAGTAAATACATGTGCATATTATTTTTAATAATGTTTTACAAAATAATGTAGCTCCTGGAAACTTTACCGTAATACCTGAAGGAACAGGCATAATAATTGATTATCGCATCAATCCAGACGTATGTACATGTTTTATTTTATTTTAAAATTGTTTAAAATTTTTTTATATTCTTATATGTAATTGCATTTATGCAATCAATCGAATATTACTTAAGAGAAATAAAGCACAGTTCAGTTTTTCTTATAATAGCAATTATATGTATGTTCGGAGAATTCATATCATCTGAAAGTTGAAAATAAATATACCTATTCATTAATTATCGATACTATGATTACGCATTTTCCATTTAAACTGGAACATTTACCGATATATTCTATCCTTAATGTAAATTTATATTATAAAACGAGGATACTATTCTCTGAATCTATTCGTACGCTTGAAGGCGGTAAGTGTAATTATATTTTAACAATATATGTATAAAATATCAACATTGCATGTAGATATATTGCTGCATATTGATGTAATTATACGATGTAATTATCTTATAATATAATTATATTTACTATTAATTATTTACAGTCCCATCTGAGGTACTAAATCTTCAAGAAAGATTAAATAATACATTACTCATTCTAACTTGGAGACCTCCAAGTAATCCAAATGGTGAAATAATAAGATATGAAATAATTTTAAAGGTAAATATTTTAAGGAAAAGTTTACGTGAGAAAGAATTTATTTTTAATATGAAATAATTATCATTATTTAATATTTCAAGATAGTATCTAAATTTACTTTGTTAGTCAAAATTTCTAATTTTAATGTATCAAATTTTATATATATATATATATATATATATATATATATATATATATATATATATATATATATATATATATTATTA